GCTGAAGCTAAAGGAAGCAAACAAATCAATCTAAATAATTTCCAGTAGACCAGACTGCATGCATTTTGAGTTTACTTTAGTTTCCTCGTCAACAGACTTACCTTTGTAATTATATTTTTGTGTAGAGACAAGGACTGAACCTCATTTTCATCCTGATTTGTAATTAACAATTTGCTGGGGATATTCGTAAAGCAGATAGTTTACCTGCATAGGGTTGAATGTTGACTGTTTCACCATAAATTCCAGTTAGTATGTGGATAGACTCTGCTCAGGTCACAAATACCAGCAGATGAGGTGCATGAACACGGAACTCAACAGCTCACCCAACAGAAAGATCACGGGTAGACAGAGGGCCATGTAAGCAGGCTGCCTGAGGAAGATAAGGACCTGACCCTTATAAAGAAGAATCAAGGAGAAAAATAAGACAGGGAAGGGGGAGAGCAAGTGCTGATGGAAGCAAGCCACGTAGATATCTCGGGGGTGGGGGTGCAGGAGCACATTCTAGGAAATGGGGACAGCAAGTGCAAAGGTCCTGGGGCGGGCAGAACTAATTGGTCAAGAAATCCTAGGAGCCCACTGTGGCTGGAGGAGAGAGCAGTGGAGGGAGCATGTTAGGAAATGAGATGGGAGATCGAGCCTGCGGACACACCACAGAGGGTGTGAGCAGCTGGAGGAATGACTTTGCCACTGACAAGGGAGCGGTCAGGAGCCCTCTTTTGGACACAGCTCTTTGGTGTCTGAGTGGAGACTGAGTCGGTGTGTTTAATAGAGAGGGGGGATCTGGGTGGGAGCTTGGGGGAGGCATTTGCTGAGGCTCCGCCTGACATTACAGATGGGGCAGGTGAGAGGCGGAGCCACCCGAGGACTCTCGGGAGGCGGCCACATTCTGTGGGGGCTCCTGGGCTTAGGGGCATGGAGGTCTTGGGTCACCTTTGCCAGGACTGGGGTGACAGCCTGACTGGAGTGGGGGGCAATAGTGTTGGGGGCAATCGGAGACAGCACCTGCACACCCTCCTTTCCGGGAGTTCGCTAAAGGGGTGAAGCAAGTGGGGGCGGGGTGGGAGCAGCCAGGGGAGCCAAGAGACAGTTATTGCTCAGGATGTGAGAAAGGACAGCCTGTTGGAAACAGACAGAACCTTCTGGAGAGAAGGGCCCCTGGCTGCCCACATTCCTGTTTGGAAGTGCTCCTCAAGGACTGTAAATGTCCCTCTCTTAACATTTTCTTACACTCATGGGCACACGTTTTGTGGGGCCCAGTGCTCATAAAATCTGGGAACCCTTTTTAAGAAACAGAAGAATAGGAATATGCAGCGAGGTAGGGGGCTGGGGAGGGGCTGTGCCGTTTCAGCTGCATGAGCGCCCAGCAGCCCCTCTGTGGTCTGTGGTCCTGGCAGGTGAACGCCCTCATGAAACAGGAGGGCCCCAGCCCCTGGTGCATCTCTCCCGGGCCCTTGGACCCCCTGTTCCTGTGACTGTGCCTTCATTTCTTCACAATCCTAGTGAGGTGGGACTAGGGTTGTTTCACACTTTATAAATCCATTAGCCTTCAAGACACATTGCCACTTGCAAGTCTGTTTTATAACATGCTCACCACCACCCATTATGGGGATACGATCTTGTATTTGAAGCTTTTGGCTAAATTGTGCAAGGGAAATGACACCCAGGAGTTTTTACTGGAATGAGTGAGTATTCTTCGTGACTTTTAATTATGTTACATCTTAAAATATTCGATACTAACTGGTGATTTGAAAGAAACCAAACCATTGTTCAATCAATCTGCATATCTACATTTCTGCCTCTGGGATCAAACATTTATATATAACTGTTCTTATGGCAACCAAAATCAACAATTTCAGAGGTCGGTTTTGGTGAGGAAAATAGAATTTGCTTCTGTTTGGCAGGAGGATATGTGCCACAGGCTATTAAAATAAATGCAAACGAGCATGGATTATATGGGATCATCGGTGATTTTATCTCTATGGTAGCCTAAGATACGATCCAGTTTACACAAAGAAAAGCAGTCTATTCTATCCCAGACTTGAAGAAATGTTACATTTCCCTAAGATCCTGGGTCCTCAGATCTGACCTTACTAATTACAGAAATGCACGCATCCTGCTGCTGCGGCCCTCCGCCCCTGGCCCGCCCCTGCCGGCGTCCTGTCCACCTGGGCAGGGTCTCACAGAGCGCCCAGGGCCCACACGGGCCTAGGAAGCATCTGACCCTTCAGGTTCCCCACCACCTCTCTCTCCCCTGCACCTCCCAGTGCAGCAACCTTCCCAGGTCACTTGGCTAGCCAGTGCCCAGCCGGGGCCCGAGGGCATGTCTAAAGGAGAAGGAAAACGTATCCTCCCAGGTGGGTGAAAGTGTGGGTGTCCCGGCAGATCCAATGCCCGGACCAGGACACCGGTCGCTGAATTCCTCACAGTCAGCTCCATCCCTGGTGAGCTTCTCCCCTCACTGCCCCACAGAGCAGCTCCTCGCAGCTCCAGGGCTCCCAGCTGCGCCCTGCAAGTCCAGGGCAGCTGTGGGCTGGGACCATTTTAACTCTTGGGACCACCCTTGGCCTGAACCAGGGGAGTGGGATTCCCTGAGCCAAGGCATGGGGGGCAGCTTCTGGGAGTGCACGTGCCTCTGGAGCTGGTATCCGGGTGCCTTCACTGAAGGAGGGCACGTGGCTTCTGGACAGTGAGGTCCTCAGCGAAGAGAGGGCGGGGCTCACTTAGGGCTTCTGCACATGCACTCACCTTCGCCTTCCCATGCCCTGAAGCCAGATCTCACCCAGACTCACACCAGCTCTCAGCTCAGGACTCCAGGTGATGTCAAGCCCTCTCACCCCATCTGGGGGTAGCTCCTGGGGATCTGTGGCTGTCCCCATTACCACAGGAGAGGGAAACAAGGACGAATTGTAATGAAAGTTCAGGTGGAAAGGAGGAGAGCAGAAAACCCGCTGCACTGGCCGTTTGGGGGTGGACAGAACAGCCCGGGGCCCTCAGTGGCTGTGTGTCCAGCAGAGCATCCCGCAGGCCTGGGCCCATGGGTCCCTCGGGGATGGCGCCGGGGATGCCTTCCCGTCACCACCCTGTGAAGCCACTTTCTGGCTGGAGAGATCTGAGGGCCCGGGGCTTTGCCTGGCGGGGAGGAGACCCGCTGTAGGTTTCCAGTCTCTTGGCAGTACAACCTTTTTAACAAGTTGGGTTCTGCCCTATTTGTTTCCTGTTGGTTGCTTAGTAACAAGCAGCCCTGCTTCTCAGTCACTGCCTCTGAGCTGGAGTTCACTGGGGCGGGAACTCTGCTCCTAGAACAGGCCCTCCCTTGGCTCCACTTGGCATTTAAGTGCTTTGCCTCAGGGCTGCTCAGGTAGAAGGTGGAGGGCGCTTCCTCCCTGCCCAGTGGGGTGGCCCTGCAGGCCACCGAGACTCCACCTTCAGCACCAGAAATGAAGGAGAGCCAGTGGCCTGGGAAAGGCTTGAAGATCATTGTTCCCCTCCGCCTCCATCTTCCCTTCTGTTAAGTTCCTGCTTCCCTGCGGACACTGGCTCAGCCCCAGGGGGCGGGGTGTGGGGTGGGGAGAGATCCCTGCAAGGCTCTGGGTCCCCAGAGGGCCCCTGCTTTGGATTGCATGCCATAGGGAGACAGGTTTTCTGTGCGCCAAGCCATCGTCTGGTTGTCTCTGTCCGCAGCAGCTGTCCTTCTCCAGAGGATCTGTTCCCTGAGGGGCTTACGCTCTCTCTCATTTGGAATTGACCTGCCATTCCCGAGTCCTGTGGCTGGCGGTCACCCAGTGCCAATGGCCAACCGAGGTCGTTTAGACACATGCTCGCTTTAAAAGGTCAAGGATGGCCAATCACTGCCCACCTCCAATGCGGCCAGTTCCATATTCATTCTGTATCAAGCTGCTCGTAACAACATCGCACTCCTGGACCAAATTATTTATTGGGTGCAAGTAGAAGAAAACCAACATGAATGACTTGAGCAATTAAAGGACTCCGTTGCGTGTTGTCACAGAAAGTTCAGATAGAAGCTACCTTCGGGTACAGCTGGGTGTGGCAGCTCAGGTGCCGTGACGAGGGCCCCTTTGCTGCCTGGGCTTCGAAGCAGGGTGCGTTTTCCCTCAGGGCTTCCAGCAGCTCGTGTTCCTCATTTGGATTCAATCTTCAGATGAGAGCCCGGGGCTTCCATCCAGTGGGGCCAGCTGAGCTTGCATGATCCCTGATGACCGGAAGGGGTGGCGTCACTCCGGTGAGTTTAGGAAGAAGCTGTCAGCCCCACCAGGGGCAGCGGCAGCTCACGTTTGCATGTGACATGCCCTTAAGGAAGATTTCTGTCACAGTGACATACTGAGTTTTAGCACAGGAAGAGCATGGACACAGGAGGCAGGCCATCTGCTCCACAGCAAAACTAGCTGTGGGACCTGGGGTGAGCTCGTTAGCCTGTACGGGGCTCAGTCTCTGCACTTGTGAAGGGCGGCAATAGTTCTGCGCTTATCCCTCCCATGGTCCCAAGGGTCACGTGAGATGGTGGGTGTGGGGTGCCCAAGCAGGGCCTGGCGCCCTGTAAAGACTGAGTGTCTGCTGTGCATTTTTGATACATGCCAGAAATAAAAACTGTCAGTGGAATAATCACAGGGAGTGTTCACAACCAGGCCAAGAGATTAGACTTGGATCGAGGCCGTGAGACTAGAGCTTGATAAGGTTGGACAGGGGTAATGACAACGACCTCCTGTTTCCGGGGAGCACTGAGCACTGGAGGGTGTTCGAGATGCTTACTCTCTTAAGTGGGGTGAACATGCTCTTTGAAATGTCGCCTACCGCGCGCACAGGAACTCGGGGCTGATGACTTGAAATCATGGGGTGAAGTGAGAGACGCTTCGCCGTCTTGACAGTGTGGGGACTGGCTCCCGTGAGAGCGTGTCGCAGGGCACGAACTCCTCCCTGAGTGAACCTGTGTCCCCGCGCACCCGGGCCGCATCAGGACAGGTGGGTCCCTCCTAACCGCCCACGGAATAGGGTGGAGCGCTCACGCCCCTTGTCCCTGTCGCCTGCACACACCTGCTCCAAGGCTGTACGGCGTCCAACTCCATGGGACGAGGCCACACACAGGTTAAAAAGAAGTTACATTTTTAACATTTAGTGGGGGCTCTTAAAGGCTCAACCTGCCTTTCCAAGTATTTTCTGGTCCCCTTCTCTCTCTCCTCTTCTCTCCCTCTCTCCTCTTCTCTCCATATATATCTGTACATACGTACATGTCTACAAATAATACCTCACCAGAGGGTCTGAGTGCTTGTGCCACGGGAAGGGAGTCGGCGGCGGGAACTTGGGCGGTGGCCGCACCACTGTGGGCCGCTGAGCGCCAGTGGCGTGTCGTCTCTCGGCTAAGTGGACAGTGCCCTCCAGGTGCTGGGGTGTTCCAAGATGCTTCTCTTGCAAACTAGGAGCAGCTTTCTAAGTGCTTAGGTGGGGGTCCAGGGCCGTCCCTGCCCATCCCTGCTGGTCCCTGCGCTGACGCCCCGGACTCAGAGGGAGGGACGGTGGGACACTGCACAAGTGACCACGGGGCAAGGAGTGACTGGAATTGACTTCGGAATATGCCTGTTACACACGGTGTTACTCAAGCACTACCTGCCTGTGGTTGAAAGTTAGAAAATGCATAGACATGGGGCACCTGGGTGGTTCAGTCGGCGAAGCATCTGCCTTCCTCTTGGTCCTGAGATCAAGCCCCACATCAGGCTCCCTGCTCCATGGGGAGTCCGCTTCCCCCTCTCCCTCTGCCGCTCCCCCTGCTTGTGTTCTCAATCTCTCTCTCTCTGTCAAATAAATAAATAAAATCTTAAAAAAAAAAAGAAAATGCAGAGACACATTTTTAAAAATAAACAGCTCCAGATTATTATTCTCCTGGGATATAATTACTCGGGCGTAGGATGCATTTTCACTTTCAAATGTTGTCATTCGTGCGGTATGAATAAAATTGTAATTGTGCTGTAGTTATTATTTTGTAATCTGCTTTTCCTACTTAGCAGGATATCATCAGCTGGTTTTTCCCTATTTTCCACCCATAAAGAGATGCCTGGCTCTCCCCTGCTCAGGGTGGTGCTTGGGGACCGGCTGATGGCCTTGCTGGGAGCCTGCTTCTGGTTGTGAGTCTGACGCAAAGGTGTCCTTGTGTCTCCCATCGATCCTTTCCCTCCCTGTTCCCCGAGGATACGGGAGTAGAGTGGGTTGCTAGAGTAACACCTCGATACCAAACAGAATGAGGACATATGTGTGCAGACCTGTTCTCTGCCGTCCAAGGGGAAGGAAGAGCTCCTGGGGCGGGGTGGGGGGAGGCGTCCTGAAGCGGAAGTCCAAAGGTGGGATGTAAATCACTCGCTGTCTGGGGCAGAGCTCGGAAAGACGCCTGGGGCAGAAGAATACAGAGTATGACACGCACTGACAGCGAAGGACACCGGCCTGGGGGTGAGGTCCTAGTTTCAACTCCTCTGATCTATCATATCCTGTCAGGTGAGTCACAGATTCTCCGCAAGCAAGGCACAACTTCCTCATCTGCAGAGTAAAATTATAGGAGGTCGTGAATGGCAAGAGAATGTGTATGAAACACGAGGGAAAATTTGAAGGACCAGTAGAACTACAGTGTTCTTGTTGTTGCACAAGAATAAAAAGTCTTTACTTTGTGTTACTTAATCTACTCAAGAGTCCCAGGTGAAACACTCTAAAATAGGTAAATGCACACATGACAATCTTGGCAATAATTATGGGATGGATATTGCTGGAATGATCAGTTAACCTGAATTAGATACCGGTGGCCTCACCGAGCAGGCTTATGTCCTCACTCTATCAGTACGGACCTGACCTGACCCCTGCTTTGAGAAAAGCCAACGACAGTCCAGATTTACAGAGAAAAATTTAAAAACCAAAAGATTCTTTTAGAGGTTCCTGAGTGGCTCAGTCAGTGAAGCATCTGCCTTCGGCTCCGGTCATGATCCCAGGATCGAGTCCCACGTCGGGCTCCCTGCTCAGCGGGGAGTCTGCTTCTCCCTCTGCCTCTCCTCCAGCTCATGCTTCCACTCACACACTCTTTCTCTCCCTCTCTCTGAAATAAATAAATAAAATCTTTAAAAAAAAGTAAAATAAAAACCATAAGATTCTTTTGAAAGTTCCCTTCACTCATTTTAGGTGAATTATTTGTAATTCCATTTATAATTCGAACACACCTTTATGAAGTAATGGATACCATGGGTTTAGACCCAGAACTCACAGCATCTTGTTCTAACAATGCCACGCTGTATGACGTAACGAAGGTGGGGCCATGAGGAGGGAGGGCTGGTGGAGAAGCCACTTGTCACCTGTGTCAGTTTCTCTTCCTATGATAATATTTTCTAGGAAATGGCAGGTTGATCCCCTTGGAGATGACTCTCAACTTCCACTTTTCATCTAGAGGGTTCATAGGCGTTAGCTAGAGACAGTCAGGCGGAGCTCTTCCGAAGAGTTAATGACACTCTTTCATGGGTGCGTTTAACTTTAACTACATGATCTAAATTGGGAAATGAGACAAATATATAATAATCAAGCTGGCAGAAAAGTGCACTTAAAGCTGATTAAGTATTTAGGAGCAGACTCTCATTATACCTCAGGAGCATCCGGGGAAGCATCTACAGATCAACCTGGCGCCTTTGGGCCGTGTGTGCATTGGAAAGTTCTGACTGTGCCAGGTAGAGCACACAGCCCCCGTCACAAGGAATCGCATCTTTCAGGTTATCCTGGAAATAATAAAAGCCCTTTGCCAGCTGTCCTGCTGCCTCTTGCCACTTTAGTCACTCAGGCAATTTGTTTAGGATTATGGCTTGGAAAAAACTGATCTAATGCCACAAAGAATTTGTTCATTAAGACAATGTATCTAAATACATACACGGGGCTTTTGTCCTTGCAAAAACTGTCAGATGTGGGTTATACATTAATTACTATTCCAGTACGGGAAGGTGGTTAGTCAGGGTTCTCCAGAGAAACAACCAATATGAAGGGGAGATGTCTATGCATGGGTCAGTCCATCTGCCATCTGCAGCAAAGTTCATTTCAGGGAGTGGATCACAAACCGTGGAGACCCGTTCAGTCTAGAGTTTGCAGGGCAGGCCGGCAGGCTGGGGACCCGGGCAGAGGCCGATGCTGTAGGCTGGGCTGGAATTCCTTCTCCAGGAAACCTCCGTGTTTGTTCCGAAGGCTTCCAGCTGATACGATGAGCTCCACCCACATTCTCAAGGGTAGTCTTTTTACTGGTGACTGATAGAAGACATTAAGCATGTCTATAAAATACCCGTGTGGACACAGCTAGATTAGTATTTGTCTGAACAGCTAGATGATGTAGACTAGCCAAGTAGACGTAGAAACTCATGGAGGCACTGACCTGCTTCCCGAGAGAATGCGGGAGTCTCGGCAGACCTCCTACTGTCAGTGACTGAATTTATGCATAGGCCTTTTCCCCTACAACTTTCAGAGTCCTGGTGAATTTAATGTTTAACTCCTATGGCTGGGGGATAAACATACAAATGTTAAAATGTATTTTTTGTTTGTCTCCAACTCTTTAGGAGCTTTAAGGAAATAATTGCCTTTAGGATAGACATCTGGATGCTTTTAAAAAATAGCAGCATTTGGAAGAGCTGAGAGACAAAGTGCCGGGAAGCGGCCTTGAAGATGTGTGTGCCCGACATGCTGAAGCGCGATGTGTTTTTTGTGCTAATGTGTGCCTCTGAACTTCTTTAAAATGCCAAATTATTCTCTTCTGGGAGGGATGCAATCAGTTCTCTGCTGACTATTATAAAAAATGTAGATAAAAGCAAAATTTCAAATGCTGTTCTACAAAAATTATTGCATCATCTCTGGCTCATTGTGGAACTTTGTACGAGATGTGTGTTGATGTGTGGCTGTGCAGTCCTGCCTTGGCAGATGCAATCATCACCGGTTTTATGAAAAACGCAGTTTATTCATCTGTGCAATATAACCTCTCATGGCAACACGGGTGCAGCCAAGCGCAGCCTTACACAAATGCAGAATACAGTTGGAACCCGGAGCATCTGAAAGGTCGTCTCTTGCTTTCCCCCAAAACACAATTTTCTGCTGGCGGATGATGGAAAGTCTGACATTATAACATTGTAACTTGATTATAAAGCTTTGATTCATGATATCATGCCAACGCCACAGGAGAGGCCAATGACATGGAAGCTCTTAACTACTTTCATTTTGCAGGAACCAGTTTCGAATCTTTCCTGATCTGATTCCTCCAGCGGGGAGGAAGGGGCACCCGCGGGCCACACGCCTGTCGGAAGCGGGCTCGCTGTGAGCGCCGAGGTGCTGCATGCCCCCTTGCATTCCCACCTCCCTGCTTCATCCAGAATAAACCTGACTGCAAGTGCTTTTGAAAACCTAGAAACAAAAGTGTTTCAGCATAACTAGGTGACAGTAAGTGCTAATGATGCAAAGAACAACTACAGGATGTAGAAAGTTCTGGAAGTGAGGGAGAGTGCGGCGGGGAGCAAGGCGTCTCGTGAACCGAGCCTGGACAGGTAAGAACAGGAAGATCAGGAAGATCACTGACATCGAGGACTCTGAGACGTACTCTGAAGATCACCGCTAATCATTAAAAATTCATAAGCGGGGCAATCTAAGATCATATTTGCTCGGAAATATGTCATACCTTTTAACATGTCCACATACTCTTGAAGCAAACACCGCTTTCTGGAATCACCCTTCTGGATACCTTGGGTTTTGCGGAGGATATATTGACTGATTTGCATGCTATCTTCCATTTCCTTCCCACCTGCCCCATCTTGTACCTGCAACACTCCAGGCACCCGAGCTTCCCGACCCTGCGGAGAGCCTGGGCTGAGGGGCCTTCTGCGTCCTGGTCTAGGTGGAGCCCGGCGCCCTCTGGGTCTCTCTCAGGGGACCGTGGTCACAGAGCAAGGGCTCTGGCTGGTAGGGACGGCACCACAGTGGGGCACTGGTCTCGAAGACAGAGATTGGGAACGGGTAGGGAGAGCTAGTGTGCAGAGTAGGGCGGAGAGGAGCCGACAGGCCCAGAGGTCTTGAGCAGGCGGGCCTGGCTGCGTCCAGCTGAGGGCAAGAAGAGACCTTTCGGCAGGAAATGTCCGCTTGTCAAGGGCTCCAGCTTCATCACAGATTTGGTTGCTCGGTACTCTGCATCTGTTCAGAAAACCCAGTTTTACTTGAGCTACTTTGAGGAACAGCTGTCTGATTCTTACCTCCTGGCCATCGTAAATTAGCTGGAAAATGCCTGGAGACCCATGAAATGGGGCAATTAAAAAAAGTGAAAGAGTGGGAAAGTGTTTTCCATAACTAGACCACTATAAGGCTGAATGATTATTGAGATTTTGTCTTTGGTTACTCTTATTTACTTCTATTTCTCTCTCTTCATTTTCATTTTAAGAATAGGTCTAAGAGGGTCTTTTTTTGTAGCATGTTGTAAACCCTTCGTAAATATTTGTAAATGAAACAATAGAATATATTTGAGTTAAACTTTTGTAATTTTATATTTGGAAAATGATTTATAAGAATGTGTTGCCTGACACTACTGGATTTGGAATATACACCCCAAATCATCAGAAGTTGGAATCACACACACACACACAGAAGTAGCATATCATAAAATATTCCTGAATCCTTGGGTATAGTTCAAAAAGCATAAGGTCCTGTTTAGGGGATATATTTTTTAATCTTGTTGAGTTTAATTACATCATTATGAGAAATAGTTGAAAAGGTATTTCCATGGTCGTTTAGTTTATTGCTGCTTGGAAGCCAAATAAGCAATGGAGGACGTAAGACTTTCTCCTCGCGATGATTTCTACATCTAGACAGGGGAACATTAGAGGAACACGTGTAATTAGAAAAAGTAATGTAAAAATTATAAATGTCACCTTTATGGTGACCAAGGGAGATTGTTTAAATAATCAGAAACCTGTGAAGTTGTTTAGAGCATTTTTGGAAGCCATCCTGTGGAAAGCCTGCCTGGGAATGGTCTGTGTCATGAAGTCCAAGGCCCCAGAAGACAGCAGGGGTGGTGAGTGCCCGCAGCAGGGGCTGGATCCGTGCTCATGGGCCCCAGCGCCTGAGGCACAAGCTCTCCCTGGGCTTCGCCCTGCAGCAGCTGCACCATCAGTTTCTGGAAGGTTTTCCTGAAGCCCAGGCTATGGGGTTGCTTTTGTATGTGTTATATGTCTATACATTCTCTGCCCCTTTACACCACATACAGTTTATATACATAATACAGAATTTATAAGCTGCTCTACACACTGCCTTTTTACACTTAGTGATATATTAGTGCTCGAGTTGTATACTAATTTCTCAACTTCTGAATAGAACTTGGTTTTATGAATGAAGCATCATTTAATCGGCCAGTCCCACAGGGAGCCAATTAGGTTACTTCCAATCTTCTGTAACAAGTAAGCTGCAAAGAAGTACCTTGTACCTAAGTCATTTTATGCCCACGTAAATGTATCTGGGGTCCCATTCCTGGGTCACAGGGATGTGTTGGGGGGTCGTTGGGAGGGTGACCGCCTGCTGACCTTGGCCGGCCAGCCCCGCACTGCCTTTGGACTCTCTGCTCTGCTTACCGCTAGGAGCTGTTTCGGGGGGCGGCCTTGAGAGAGCAACGCGGTATGGAGGACATCTGGATGTGGCTGAGCCCTATTAAGGTTTCTCTGCAAGCTTGAAGACGTGGCAATTGGAGACCTCCTTGCCTTGGGGCCCAGGACAGGCCCTGTAGGTAGGTTCCCTGGCCCTTACACCTGTTACCTGTTCATCTGGGGTGCCTTGCCCCGTCCTTTGGTCTCTCCCGCCCTCCGAGTCTTGGGCCAGTTTGCAAACCAACAGTGTGTACGCTATGTGGATAGTGTTGCCAAATTGCCTTACTCGTGCCTCAGAGTAGAGCTTTCTCCGGTGTGGATCTGGGAGGAGAGAGCCAGCCCCCCGGGGGAGGTGCTACTGTGCGTGTGTGAATTCAGTTTCCTTCCACGTGATTAGTTCATTTTATATGAATTATCTGCTCAGGGCCTTTAGCCATTTTTTTTCTATGAGTTTATTGGCCTTTTCCTTAGTGTTTTGTAAAAATTCTGGAAAATAAGCTACATGTGATATGAGTTGATAAAAAATGTTTTTGTTTTTGCCTTTTTATTTTGTGGGAGTTTTTACTTTTTGAAAATATTCATTAGTTCTGAGATCTAATCTTGTGACAATCCTTGGCAGTGACAAACCTTTGTCTCTTGAAGGACAGGTAAGAGAGATGACGTGTTGATACTATTTTGAGTTAAAAATGATACAACTTTGTCTTTAGACGTCTTTGAAGGCAATTCTAAAAGAGGGGCTTCAAAATATTTTGAGCAGCATCCTAAGCATATGGCTTCCCAAGGGCACAATTGTAAAGATGACACACTTCCATAAGGGTGCAAACTCCATCCTATCTGTTAAAAACAATTCTCGTGATATTAGAGTCACCCAGCAGATGAGCAGGAGTGTCCAGGTTAGAGGCCATCCAGTGGGCAGGAGGACGAGCTTCTCAGGGGGAGGGAGTGAGCGCTGGGGCAGCCAGGGGACCTCGGGAAGAATGAGGGTCTGTCGTTCAGGGCCCCACGTGCCATCCTGAGAGGGATGATGCCATCCCAGGGCAGCAAAGCCTCTGGACACTTCAACTCGGGAGCTACAGGATCTGTTTTTAATTTTATTTATTGATTAAATGAACGACATTTTATTTTTTATTAGTTGAGGTCATTTTGGCAATATCGTGGGGTTGATAAAAGGGATGTTTAAGTCCTATCTTCCGACATCTGTGAACGGGAACACATTTGGAAATAGGGTCTTTGCAGATGTCACTTAAGATGAAGTCATGCTGGCTTGTGGTGAGCACAAGCCAATGACTTGTGTTCTTGTCAGAGGGAACTCTAGACCCAGGGTACGGAGAGAGGAGTCTTGTGGAGGGGGGACGAGGTCACAGTATCGCAGCCACAAGCCATGGAGGCCACCGACAGCTGGGGGAGGGGGCGGTAAAGCATCCTCCCTCAGCACCCTCTAGAAGGAAACTGCCCTGCTCACACCTTGATTTTGGACTTCTGGCCTCCAGGACTGTGAGGTTGTGGAACTTTGTTAGGACAGCCCGGGAAGCTTGCATCGGCATGAAGCATCAAACACGGAGTCTGGCTAGCTCCAGCAAACACAACACAGTACAAAGCAAAAACAGGAGAGAGGGAATGTCTTGCAACTAGTAAGACCTTAGAAGGGAAGGAAGTTTCCGCGTCCACCCCAAGAGGGATCCGGACTTGTGTTTGGTAAAGCTTCTCTGGTTGCGGGCTGGAGGCGAGCTAGGAGTGGAGTCCACAGGGGCCTTCTTCAAGGAGCCTTGGCTGGCGTGGGGAGGGTGTACCTGGGGACAACAGCAGTGGCCACACTTCACGTTTATTTTGAGGAGATGCATTCAACGGGAGGTGATGTTGGATTGGATGCCAACCCACGGCCTAGGGATGTCACACCATGTGAAAGAGCTTTGGAAAGCCTCACTGTGGCTCCTATAAGTCAACCTGAAGTTCTGTTTGATTCTGGGAACTTGACTCCTGGCCAAAATATAAAGAGATATGCTCCATTTTCAGAACTGTAAAATAATGCTTGGATAGTTGAAAGACATTTAAAATGATAACCACAAATACGGACCCAGTAGTTGACTGTGTTTTAATTATGAAGGATTTTGAACATACAGAAGAGGAAGCAGAGTAACAGAGACCCACAGGTGCCCCACTAAGAGGACACAGATGTGAGCAGTGTGGGGTATTTGCTTCAGGTCTGT